ATTGAATTCAACTCCGATATCGTCTTTTTTAACGTGGGAAATCCCGTGAATAGAGAGTCCCGCATGATGCGGTCGATCTCTTCTAAGGCTAACTGAACATGAAGCTGCAGCACGGGATCTTTGTCGTCTCGCAAAATGCGCAATTCGCGGTACAGATCGATCATATCGCTGGTACAGGTGCTCAACAAGTCTCGGTCGAGACCACGAAACAGAAGCGTTGCGACCAGCACAGCGGCACGTCGACATTCAGGTACTTTGTCTGTTTTCAATATACATGTGATGCAGTAGAGAATCTGAAAACGTTAAGATCAAAAGTTTAAAGATCTCTTCGGTATATTGTGCTCTGCGAGTTTCTTATATACGTACTTCGGTGAGAATGTTTCCCAGACGGTAGTTCAATACTTTACAGAGTTCCCCTAAGCAAGAGAGACCAGAAGCTCGTACAAAGGGATCCGTATCGCGGATTGCGCACAAAAAACCGTTAACCAGCGTGTTTTTTTGAACCACGCTCATTTCACCTGCAAAATTTCATATTCTGATTACTCCTGATTCTTATTAAAAACTTGCCTCAAGATCTTATGACTCGCTCTTGTCGCATTTTGATACGTTCTGTTTTATTTTCTTCTATCGTCTATCGGACTTATGTCCAGTATTTTGAATAACGATAATTTATTAACAATTTTGTTACCACGTAAAATTTAATCATGTTCCGTATAGAATAAAATTAATTAAAATGATAAGGGATTTATAGGAAATTTAATTTTAGCTGTATATATGGAAATAATAAAAAAGGAATTTCTATATACCCAGGGCTCTCGTTGTCTTGACTAGTATTTCCCCGAGCTTTATCCTAGTTTCAACAGTTATTTCCGAGATTGCGGCACGTTTGGGCATATCAATGTATTCAAGCATCAGCGTTTCTATAACTTTTTCTGGAAATGCAGTTGCTAATGCGCATAGTCCGTTGATAGATGCCAGATATATGAACGAATCCTCGTGCTTCAAATTTTCCTGTAACCAAACATATAAGTGAGACAAACGTGCAGAACGCGTAGTAAGCGAGCGATCGAAATATTTACCTCAAATAAACGCAAAATGATCGCATTACGCGCAATAGCATAAGGATCTTTAGTCTCAATCAGTTTCGTGAGTGTCACAAGACCATGCGCCCGAACAGGAAGTAATGGGTCTGCGAGATCCTTCAAGGCTTCATCAAATTTGTCCGACGAACTGGACAAGTCTTGATAGTATTTCCTTTCGGATCTGGGTCGGGAATCATGTGTCGTGATACAGGCAACCACTTCGCTGATTAATGATTTAAGTTGCGTCGGCATATTGGAATTTTTCAGGTGATCTTCCAAAAATGTTTTAAAATCTTTGAAGAGATCGATCTTGATCGCTGCACTCTTCTCAAGCAGAATCATTTTTATCCACATTAAGCTGATGTACAGCATCTCGCATTCGTTTTCTTCGGTTTCATCCGAACGGCTTTTTGTATAATCGTCGAACAACGATTTTATAAACGACAGCAGTGGTTCGGGATCTTTCACCTGTGCGTCTTGAACAGTACTTGTGCTGGCTAATTGTGACAGAAGTTTATGAGCCGCTAACTGCATCGTGATGCGTTCTATTTTATCATCTTCTGTCTCCAATGTTTTCGGTTGTTCAATTTCGCAGCTCCGTTTATTTTGATTTGACATGAACTTTAACATGTAACAAAATAAGCTGGGCGATAAGTCTTTAGCGGTGGACACTAGGTCAAAAATGGTATCAGCTAGTTTTTCGTAGTCCAAACTTTCATTCAAACCAATAATCTCGATACCGCCAGTCGGCCCAAATTCTGATGACACATAATTCCCAAATCCCGCTGAAGTATCGTGTCCTAGAAAAGCTGAATAAAGCTTTTCCCGCGTTGTATCTTCCTCGAAGATTTTTAATAACAATTGTCGTAAATTCGTTTTTAATGAGCAAGCACTTTCGCGGACTTTATCGTACAGGCAAAATAGAGGCGTGGCAACGTGCAAAATAACTTTGCAAGGTAGATGCTTGAACTTGGCGTCCTCCGTTAAAAAACATTTTGTTAATATTTCTATACACCGTTCAACCTCTTTTTCAGATTTTATAACATGTGGTTCTTTCTTCGTTGTTAGAGGTGCACAAACGACTTCTATAATATACTTCTGACAAGCACGTGGATTGTAATCATACAGAGATTTAATACAGCAGTTCGCTATTATTGTGCCATGCTTGAACTTATCAGAGAAAAACAGATCTAAAATCTAAAAAAAATTGTAATTCTGAATTACTTTTGTATTATATGTACAAATATATATTATAATGTATCTTATATACACTATTTCTTTAAATAGCTCCTAGCCTACCTGCGGACATACGGCTTCATAATATTGATCGACGTTCTTTCCATGAGTTGCTGTTATCAGCCGGGAAAGCGTATCTAATTTTTTCCAATCCGCACCCAGGTCTAAACCATCGTTATAAATTGTGGCGATTAACGATGATACTCCATCCGGTTGCGTAAGCATGTTAATTAGATAGTTATGAGTTTCTCTACGTAGCCACCTTGGTGTATTTTGCACTCCACAAATTGCCATTAATTCCCGAAAACATATGTTACGTGGACAATTACTTAATAGGGAAATAAATTTAGCGTGAAATGCTTTTTGACGATTCTGTAGCCTTTGATATTCCTCCACTGTCATATAAAACTCTTGGTTATTTAAATTCATGGGCCGAACTTCGTTCGATGGTTTAGCTAGCGGAGCATGAGACAATTGTAATAGAGCGGCTATTAGAGGGCCGATTCTTAAAAGTACAGCCGGTCGTAAATTGAGATCATCGAAAAGATCTAGGAGTAAGTGTGTTGAAAAACATAATCGTTCATATTTCTGAAACACAAAGTCCGTATAATAGAGAAAAATGATTATACAAATTATATAATACATAAATTACACAATGCTTTACCTCCAGACAGCTCAAGTCTTCTTCCTGAGTAATTGTTGAAGCTATGGGGCATAATTTATCTATATCTATACCTACACCAGGTAATAGAAAGGGCTTAATTCCAATTAATATTATAAATTCCACAGCATTTTTCAAAGACTGATACTGGCTCACGTTAAAAGGTGCATCGGCATCTACTTTTACATTTTCTTGTTTAATACCACGCAATATGTAACTTAATATGTGAAGGTATTGTTTTCTATAAATA